CCTTCCTTTCATACCCTTTCCCAACTATGTGACTATATGTACATGCTATTTTGCACATGTATTATATAAGTGAATGCAACAAGTCTGACTTTTACATTTGGTTTTGTCCTTAGTAAAATATTTAGCAGATAGTAATGATGAGAAAAAGTTCTGAGAACAGAACAGACACCTCAGCAGACTTGAGGGCAAGCAAACTGGACACATCAGGCCAGAGGGGGACCAGGAGTGGTGTCTTCCTCCTCTCTAGGCTGAATATCGCTTTGTCTGAAATGATTGGCACCAGAACTGTTTTGGATCCTAGCGTATTTGCACAGGCAGAATGAGCTATAATAGGGAAAGGATCCAAGTCTCAGCATGAAATCTGTTTCTATTTTATATGAACCTTATAAATGGAAGATAATTTATACAATATTTTCATTGTTCCAGGGTCCAGTGTAGAATCTTCTACTTCTGGGGTTATGTCGGCACTCAGAAAGTTTCAGCGTTCCGAGCACTGAAAATTTTCCTATCAAGTGGTTCAGTTTGTAATAGATAAATTGTCCCTCTGGAAAATGGAAATATTAACAACTAAAACAGAACAAAATCTTGCACAGCTAATTAAAAGTTGGGTGTTAATGATGAAAGAATGAGATGGAGAGAGACAGATAGAGACTGGGAAGCATTGATTCCAATAAAAAGCCAACTTTTCTGTCAGTTCAGGTCACAAGGATCCTTGCTCAGGACTTTTGGAGCCAAGTCAGTGAACAGCTAAGACTGTACTCTTGAATACTTCACAGGACAGGGTCAGCGCAGTGCTGTGTTTATCCTCTCATAAACTGTAGGAACCATTTGGAGCTAAGAACACTTCCGATTCACTCACTGACCCATCCAAAAGCTGGAATGTGGTGGTCTTGCCAGAAAGCATAGAAGACATAGATTTATACTTAGATGTATGGATATTCATATTCTCTTTCCTCTTCTGTGTGTGTGTGTGTGGGGGGAATATGTCAGGTGCTGGGTTTAATCCCAAGACAGGAAGGAGAGAGAAAGGGGAGAGGGAGAATCATGAAGATCCAAGTATAATTTGTCAAGTCCTTCATTAATTGAACTACTTTTCACATAAAAGACAATTCTCTGTGGGCAAATAACTCTGTAATTAAGTATGTATATATTTTAACAAATCATTAAGAAATGACTATAGAAGCAACTGCCAACTTAACAATCACCCCGACTTGTGCATTCTCCAAACAGCAGGCAGTATGTCTGTTCTCTTCAAATTGCAACTTTAACTGATCACATGTGTATAACAGGTGTTGTTGGAGGCTCCAGCTTCCTAACTGTGCCAATACATTTAATCTATCCCCCACCCCATCTACTATAAGGTCAACATCATTATGGGGATTATCACCACCACAAATGAGTAAACTGACTTAGAAATGAAATAATTGGTATCAGGTTCTCCACTGGGATCCCCGGAAGGACTATTACTGGTGGATACCTTGGCTTTATCCCAGTGCAGTCTATTTCAGACCTCCAGAACGTTAACAGAATGAGTTGATGTTGTATCTTTGTGGCCATTTGTCTTCACAGCAATAGACAACTCATCATTTGGGTTAGTTTTCTGAGTCCTCTACTTGAACACAGCAAGGCCTTCCAGGAGAGCTCGGTTTTAAGACTTCCTTTACTAGCTTTGCCAAAGGAAACACCTGACCCAGTCCTGACTCCTCTGTATTCACCCCCACTTTCTTCTGGAGAAAGGACTCAGAAGTTTACCACTGACACCATGTGATGCAACAGACAGGCAGATATATAGACAGACATAAGGGACGAATAAGGGTATTTGATATGACAACCAGAACAGAGCCCCGGTGGTCTTTGATTTAAAAACCAAAAAGCCACAGCAGTGCTTGCCTATTCCCCCACTGACAAGACCCTGGGGAAGATCCAGTGCAAAGGAAAGCATGGGTGGTCCACACCCACAGCCTCCCAGGGGCTCCGTTCCTCATGCACAGGTGAAGGATGGGTGAGAGCCCTTGGCCAAAGGAAACTCAATATTCTCCATTTGGATGCTGCTTTTGTTTGAGACTTTCTCAAATGCATTGTCAGACACAGTCTTTAAAGGGTTGTCAGGCCCACCAACAAACTCCCATTTTGGGCTTTATGTTTTTCAGGTAATTGAAACTATACCGTTCACCAATCACTCTCTTCAGGCAGTGAGTTGTGATGTTTCATTACTGACCGCGTTTACAAAAGGCAGAAGTTTCCTGCCACTGGTCCCTGGAGTCTATGATGCTATGACATATCCAGACCTCTCTTTCTTACCATAGCCCTGATCACTTTAGGAGAGATTACAGACTCAGGCCTAGTGGCTGGCTGGGGGGGGGGGGGGCGTCCAGTCCACAGCTGAAGACTCAGCTGGAACCAGATTGTTAAGTGGCAGGAAGAGCTGTCTGAGAGATCCCAGTACCGAACACTCCTCCCGTTTTTAGAGGTTAATAGCCTATCACTTCATAGAAATGTGACACTCTGCTCACTCAACATGAAGTTGGCACTTCAGGATTACAGTATGATAAGTTCACTCTATACACTATGTCTTTCTCCTAAAACTCATCTCCCTCCCACTCTATGGCCTGAAAGCTACCAAATGTCTACCAAAGTCATTTGTGGAAACCTGATCGGCAACATGATGGTGGCATTAGGACACCAGACTGTTGGAAGGGGATTAGGTCATAAAGGGAACCCTTGCAAATGAGATTATAAAATAGGTTCCCAGATAGCTGCCCCCACCCTTCCCACCACATGAGAATGCTACATGGAACATATATGGACCAAACACTGGGCCCTCATCAGGCATTGGAAATACTCATCTTAATTGTAGACTCCCAGTTTCAGTAGCTGTGAAAAAATATTTGTTTATAAGCTACCCAGTTTATGGTATTTTGTCAGAGTAGGCTCAGTGGACTAAGATACCATCTGATCATATCACATCTGCTATGAACCAGGTACTTTGTTCAGTAAGGGGCATGAAAATGGCAGCCAAAGATCATACACATTCTGCCTCACTGGAGAAGGGAAGATATTGTAACTGTTTATGGTTTGGATAGGAAAGATAATTATAACAGCTTTCAGTTTGGATAGGAAATATAACTTTAGAATTTGGACAGGAAAGATATTATAATTGTTTAGTGTTTGGATAGGAAAGATAACTGTTTAGAATTTAGATAGAGTTTAGAGTATTCTTCAAGGACTTGACCAGTACCCCAATACCTGTTAAGGTCATTAAAAAAAAAAAAAAAAACCAAGAGGTATCTGAAATAGTCCCTTGGCCAAGAGGAGGATAAAGAGACACGACTATTAAGCGGAAGGTGGAATCCTAGAACAGAAAAGGACATTCTGTAGGAATGAGAAAAGTCTGAGCAGAGTGTTCCATATGACATTATAATAGGACAATAGTGGCAACTGGGTATGGAGTATATGGGAACTTTCTATACTAATGTAGTTTTTCTTTAAATCCAAATTCTTAAAAGTTTCAAATCTGTTAAAAGGAAAGAAAACACCTGTGAAATGCCAGACTTTCTGGCACTAGGGCAACGGTATGGAAAAGGTTTCTGACTCATTCCTTTCAGGTATCAGGGTTAGCAGAGCCCTCGGATAACCGAAAAGGGGGGGAAGAGATCGTTCTGCTCTTAGAGTAAGCCTTTGCTTGCTTCTGAGCTCTTGACAGTTTCACACAGCATCTACTGCTTTGATGACTGAATGGGAATAACAGAGGAAAACTATTTTCTGTTTTGTAATGAACAATTCTACACCACAGTTCACACTCGTGTTAAAAGTGAGACTTGAGAACTTGGAGGAACACAACTCTGCCAGGGGTTTTGTTACATTTCCTCCAGATTCCAGCTTCGTTGCAGGTTTCCATCGTGAGCACATCACCACTCAACCCCCCCGTGTGTTCCGTTTGGTACCAGCTGATATTTCAAAATGCATAAAGGTTTCCATGTGAATCTTTAACTTCCTGGTTTGACACGTCCCTTCCCTGAGACAACAAGCACCCTGCTCAGGCTCTGAGGGACTTATCACTTTGGGCTGGGGCTAAGGGAGTCTGAGAAAAAGCATTAGGCAATCTAGTTTAAAAACTAGTACTGTAACTAGAACTTGAGGGTCAACAATAACATATTTTAATCACCTCCCCTCAAAAGGGGGGACCAAACCAAAAAAAACCAATCGACACCAAGACTTCGTCGCTTAAACTCTATCGTTATTTTCTCTGTTTTCCTAAAAAGTTAACGCGAAGAAAACAAAATGAAATTTCAAATCACATGAGCCCGCTATTCGTGCAAATCCCCTTTAAAAACATCCAGGGAAACTGGCTTTGGGACATCTCCCGGGCTATGCCAGCTGCTGGCTTGCTCATTCATCTCCTGTGCCTTTCTAACAATCCTCCTGCTGGCTGGATGTTCCCTGAGGACACGGCAGCTGGCCAGAGTGGCCAGACAAGACTTCTCTAACTACAATCTGGAGGCGGAGAGGCTAAAAGCTACCAGGGCTCAGCAGCCTCGAACTTCGCTCATCCCAAACACCCCCACCAGCTTCTAAAACGTTTCTTTGCCAGCACAGCTGGGACTCTGCCACTAACCCCTCGCTGCTGGTACTTAAGAGTGCCCTGCGTCAACCCCGGATGCCATCTTTCTTGAGCTCTTTGCATCTTGAATACTTTGAGCTTTGCATTCTGATCACGTCCGTGTGTCTTTGAAAACTTCCCCCAACTTTGCAAGGAGATGAGACTTGTAATTTTCTTCAACGTGAACTGACAAAATCCGACACTATTTACAATAGACACTCAAAACCAGTCTCCCCGCCCAGAGCCTGCCTGTATCCGGATTACCCTTGGTGCTCCCACAGTGCAAAACCTGATGCCCGGTGGCGGATCCCTAGCCCGGAGCGCCACGCTTGCGGGCAAGCGTCCCGAAGGCGGGTAATGGGTAGGAGGGTGGCGGGGTGGAGGTACCCCAGAGACTTACAGTCCAGGGCGACCACTAAATAGTGCAGCAGCAGCAGCAGCAGGAGGCCTTGGGGGCTCCTCGCCATCTACGCGGGCACCAGCCGGCTGCGTAGCCGAGGGTCCCCCCGCTGGAGCGTGACAGGCGGGCCGGCCCCCGGCACTTGGCGTGGCGGCGGGGCTGCAGAAGTCCGGGAGAGGAGGAGGCAGAGGGGCGGGTCCTGTCGCGGTGTCAGTCTCTTTGGTCTGTTGGGTGTCTTCTCTGGCTGCCCGGGAGCAGGTCTTCTGGCCCTGGGACGTCCCTTCTTTTTAAGGGTGGAGGGGCTTGAGGAGAGGGCGTGGACGCGGGGCGCGGTGTCCGCAGGGTCCTAAGCGAGGGGTGGCAGAAGGCCGGCTGCTGGAGGGAGAGTCCTGCGGGTCGGCCCCCGCCCTCGGGCTGATCCGCTTTGTGTCTGGTCCAGCGCTGGGCTGCCAGCTGTCCCCAGGGCCAGGAGCTGGGGGCGGGAGAGCGCAGCCGGGTGGGATGGGCACCGTGTGTGTGTGTGTGTGTGTGTGTGTGTGTGTGTGTGTGTGTGTGTGTGTGCGTGCGCCTGCGGTGGGGGTGCGGGTGGCTCGATCTATCTCTCCACGTCTCTTCTCTTGCGTAGAAAACTTGGTTTTCAGTGTTTTGCCTAGGGTGGGAGCTGATTTTTGGAAAGTTTCCTACCTAGCGGACAAAATGGTTAGAAAAGCGCTCCTAAGTGTGGGTTCTGCCTCAGACCCTAGGAAAGGGTGGGGGTGGGGGGGTAAAAAAAAACATCCTTCACTCGCGCCTCAAGTCAGGACCGAGATTTCATCTTCTGGTTTGTGCCCCCCTCCCCGCCGCCGCCCCTAGAGAGTTACGGTGTGTTCTAGGCGCTTTCGTTGTCGTTTGGAAGTTCACCTGACAGTGTGAAAAATTTATCTTGTTTCTTTCCCGTTATGTAAGTGCCGCCTGTGGTGGAGTTTTCCACATGTTAAAACTCTACAGCTGCCCTTTTGTCAGGTTTATTTTTGGTCTCCTGTTCTTTTAAAAGGGAAATCCATTATGAATGCTGTAGAGCCTGCTTCAAAATTGACCCGCACCTCGGAAGCGCACTCTGACCAAGGCGATTTTCACATTTGCTCTCCAGAACTGACGTCTGGGGACATTCGAGAAAATTAACCCATCTGTGTAAAGGCCTTCTCCAGGCGAAGACATTTGTTTTTAATAGATCGGTTTAAGTAAGGTCCAATATTGAATAAAGTTATGTGTAGAAGATAGCCGATTTAGTGGGGGGAGCCCTTACAAAGAATGAGCCAGCTTGGTGGACAAAGGCTAAGATACACTTAGATATGCAGAGCTCTGAAGAATGAGGCATCCCCACGGTTGCCTTGGCAACAGTGATGAAAGCTTTGTCCCCATAGGGAAGGGGAGGGGATGGAGGACCCCTGGGGGCAAGAAAAGAAAAGTTGAAAAAGGCAAAAATGTTGGAGCCAGTGTAGCCTAAGCACACAAACAGTAGGGGCATCATCTAACTTAAGGGCCATGGCCTGTGCTCCAGGCCAGGTTAAGCCACTGGTCCTCAGCAAGCCAAATAAAAAGAGTCAAAGTAGTAGTGGAGAGAGAGAGAGAGGGGGGGGGGCAGAGAGGGACAGAGAGAGGAGAGATCCAGTGAACTCCTAATCTTGTCTTCCGGGTCTGGAAGAGAGATGAAATACAGAGGCAAGGTGTACACAGCCAAACAGTAACACCCAACCCTGTCATTGCACGGGCTTCAGTCCCATCCTATAGGGTGGTGTGACCACTTGTTACAACTATATGTATTCTCTTTCCCAAAGACAAGTGGCCCTTGCTTCTCCCAGCATGGGATTCCTGGGGAAAGTCCCATTCCTTTGGTATTTATGGATGCAGAAGCCAAGAAGAAACTGCTTAGACTGCTTAATCTACTTCCTGGGAAGTGCCAGGTTTTTTTTTTTGTTTGTTTGTTTGTTTTATTTTTAATTTGCTTGTTTGGGGTGTGTGTGTGTGTGTGTGTGTGTGTGTGTGTGTGTGTATGTGTGTGTGTGTGTGTGTGTGTGTGTGTGATGAGTCTGGAGTGGCTCAGAGATTCATCATACCATAAACACATTTTAATAAGAAGAGGCTTTTTCATTTTGGAAATCAGTATGGTGTTTTCTCATGAAAATGGGAATCAGTCTATCTCAACATCTAGCGATTCTACTCAAAGGATGCACATTCATACCACAAGAATATCAGTTCAACTATGTTCATAGCAATATTGTTTGTAATAGCCAGAACCTGGATGCCCCTTAATCAAACAACGACTAAAGAAAATGTGGTACATTTACACAATGAAGTATTACTCCACAGAAAAACAAAACAAACAAACAAACAAAAAACAAATGAAATCTTGAAATTGGCAGGCAAATTCGCACTCATATATGGATTTTAGACATGGAGCAAAGGATCACCAGCCTACAATCCACAACCTCAGAGATGCTAGGGAACAAGGAGGACACTAAGAGAGACATACATGGTCACCTTGAGAAGAGGGAAAGGGACAAGAGCTCCTGAGTATATTGGGAGCGGGGGAGGGGGGTAGGGGGAAGAGGAGGGGAGGAGGGGAGTAGTATAGTGACACACTGGCAAGGCAAGATGCCACTACAGAGTGGGGAGGAGAACATGGGGGATCGGGAAGGTCAAGTTGGGAGAAGAACAGAAAAGAACAGCAAGGAGAGATACCTTCATAGAGGGAGCCATTACAGGTTTAAAGAGAAGTCTGACACTAGGGAAATGTTCAGAGATCTACAAGGATGACCCCAACTAACAATCTAAGCAATGCTGGAGAGGCTACTTTGAATGCCCTTCCCTGATAGTGAGATTGATGACTAACTTATATGCCACCCTAGAGCCTTCATCCAGTAGCTGATGGAAACAGAAGCAGACACCCACAGCTAAACACTGAGCTAAACTCCTGGAATCCAGTTACAGAGAGGGAGGAGTGATGAGCAAAGGGGTCAAGACCAGGCTGGAGAAACTCAAGCTGACTTGAACAAGGGGGAGCTCATGGACCGCAGTCTGACAGCTGGGGAACCAGCATAGGACTGAGCCAGACCCCCATGTGGGTGTCAGTTGGGGGGCTTGGGTAGTGTATGGGGCCTCTGGCAATGGAACCAGTATTTATTCCAATGCATGAATGGACTTTGGGAGCACATTCCCTAGGGATGGATACTCTCTCAGCCTAGACACATACAGGAGAGCCTAGGCTCTGCCCCAAATGATGTGCCGGACTTTAATGATCTCCCATGGGAGGCCTCACCCTCCCTAAGGAGTAGATGGTGGTTGGGATGGGGGCTTAGTGGGGCTGGGGATGGAAGGGTGGGAGGGAGAAGGAACTGGGATTGGTATGTAAAATAAGATTGTTTTAATTTAAATAAAAATTAATTTTAAAAAAGAGGCTTTTTATTTAGGCACTGGTGTCTAGTGTGGGTCCAGGACTGCTCCTGAGAGTGCTCCCAAGATGAATCCCCTAGTCATATCACCCTAAGGCTTATAAAGACAAAAGCCCACAAGATTACATGCATTCTATGTATAGGCAGGGACTATTTTTAACATATATGCCTTGTAGTTGTCTTAGTAATCTTTCTGTTCATAGTGAGTGAGTTTACTAACAAAAGCAGAAATAGAAGTCAGTCTTATGACCTACTACTGTCTTGCTAGAACAGTAAATTTTACATGACCAGCCAATTTAAGAAGAGTCTGGGAAAAAAGGAGAGCGGGCTGGTAGGGAACAGCCTGTACAAGTTAGGGCTCACATACATGTTTAGAGGTATGTTTTGCTCTTTGGTCTCTCAAACATAGTAAGTCTAAACTGTAAATGCTTTATTTATGTATGTATGCATTTATTTATTTTTTGAGGTGAGGTGGGGTTTTGCTGTGTAACAGCCCTGGCAGTCATGGAACTCAATTTGTAGATCAGGCTGGCCTTGAATTTGCAGAGATTCATCTGCCTTTGCCTCCTGAGTGCTAGGTTTAAAGGTGTGAGCCACCACCGCTTGGTGGTGTAACGTTAGCCATCACAATTGTTGACCTTTTTGTGACAGGGTCTTTCTACATAACCCTGGCTGTTCTGGAACATTATAATGACCAAGCTGTCCTCCCATGCACCACCACACCTGGCTCAAAATTTTATTACGTTTTTTACAAGACAAAGTTGTTAGAGGGTGGTGGTGGTGCAAGGCTTTAGTCCCAGCACTCAGGTGGCAAAGGCAGGTGCATCTCTGTGAGGATGAAGCCAGTGTGGTCTACAGAACTAGTGCCAGGACAGCCAGGGCTATCCTAAGAAAACTTGTCTCAAACAAACAAACAAACAAGGCATAGTCAGAGCTTATTCTAGTTAGTTATTGACTCATTTATTAGCAGCATCTATCCAGTGGCTACAGTGTACCTCCAGGGAGAGCACTGAAGGAGACCAAGCTTTGCTGCTGTGAAATTCAGTCTTCCAGAGAGAGAGAGAGAGTCCCATCTGCACTTGTTTCTAACATTCCATGATAACTGTTGGGGTGGGGGCAGTAACAGCTGGTTTTATTTCATGCTTTCTCAGTGGTCGAGTCTAAAAGCCGCAATTCTTAGTCCTCCCCCAAAGAAGAAATGTTATCATTCCCACTTTACAGATGAGGAAACTAGGCACAGGAGGTCAAGGAGAAGGCGATGGTTTCCCTGATGGGGATAAGGTTAGGGCTTTATTTACTAGGCCTTGAAATATGGAACATTTGAAAGGAAAGCAAAGAGCAGAGTTGATAGCTGGGAGGTCTAAGCAAGGTTCTGTGGCGCTGGAGTACAAACGTAGTCGGGCAGAGGACATTAGTCGTGGAGAGGCAAAAGAATGGGTTATAAACCCCATTCCTCACTATACCACTGGCTTTGGGCATTATGATATAAGAAATGAATGCTTTGAAAGCAATGTGGCAAGGGAGGAAAATATTCGCATTAGCTAATTAAAGCAGCTTCTTACCATGTAACTCATGCACTATTAACATTGCCACCTGGAATACTTCGAGGGCTGGCTTGCTCCTAAAATAGTTTAGGTTTATCTTTCTTGTGTTCTTTCTCTGCATTTCCATCCTCCTTTTTTCCCCCCCCACAAGACAATTTCTTTGTGTAACCCTGACTGTCCTGGAAAC